CCAATGCCCCCCCTGCTGGTGGAAAGTGGTCAGTGTCTGGATATTAGAGTGGAAAACTGGTGGATAACAGGATCTGACTTCATTAGGAGTCTCAAGACTTTAAACTTTGTCCATTTATGTAAACTAAAAGGAGTGTCTGTATCAGACTGACACTAATAGACCAGCTAGAACTTCCTCTTTAGCTACGAATTCACACTTTATGTGCAAAGACGGAAGTAACAGTTGTTTTTTTTTAAATGACTGTTTTCTCAAACTTGAACGTTATTGACTGTAACCTGTGTGAGTGTCTCAGTTTGATATAAAGTGACGGCTTGTGAGTTAAAGTGTGTGTTTGGACCTTTGCTGAGCACATATAGGAACACAGGAATAAACCCAAACAGCCTCTGACAACCAGGAAGAGCTGCTCAGTGAGTCAGAGGAGGAGCCCGACGCCTTCCTCTGGCCCACACCTCACTTCCGTGTTTGCTGAAACGGGGAGCTGGTTCTGTAGAAGTGGAGCGGGAGGAAATGGCTGCTCTGATGGTGGTCATCACTCTGCATACGAATGAGGGGGCGGGTCCCTTATTAGAGCCTCACTATTAGCCAGAAACTGGTCAGTGTCTGGAAGTGGAAAAGTGGAAAACTGGTTGATAACAGCGTCTGACTTCATCCAGAGCCTCATATGGTTAACCTTTATCTATTTGTTTAAATTATAAGAGTGTATCTGTGCATCTGTGACTGAAAGCCACAGACCACCAGAAACGCTTTGTTTACAGCCGAGGCCTCCTAAGTTTTTTTGATTTTTTTCAAATTCAAACCGTACTCGGATACTAAATAACTTTTTAATAACTAAGAGAGCTTTTTAAAACTACATTGTAAAATGATTGGACTTTGTTCACATTTCCTTGTTATTTCAGTGCTTTTATCTTTAAATAACTTTGCATGTCACTCGATGTGTGAAAAGCAGAAAAAACACAGAGATTCACACAGGAAGGGGGCGGGCTGCATCTGGGGCAAAAACCTCAAACTGGCCCAGAGACTGACACACGCAAAGATGGAGGCATGTGCTCAGTACCTGCTCCGTAAGTAGAGACGCTTTTCTCTTTTTTCTCTGTTTCTGGTCTGTAGACGACTTCTGATGGGGGGGCACACTGAAACAGGTCAGGCTGAAGTCAGGTGGAAAATGCTGAATGATGAGCTGCTTCAGGAGGTTCCTATTTTACTGCTGGTTATCACACTGCACACGAATGAGGGGCAGGTCCCTAATTAGAGCCTCAGTTTTAGACAAAAACGACCATCCAATGCCCCCCCTGCTGGTGGAAAGTGGTCAGTGTCTGGATATTAGAGTGGAAAACTGGTGGATAACAGGATCTGACTTCATTAGGAGTCTCAAGACTTTAAACTTTGTCCATTTATGTAAACTAAAAGGAGTGTCTGTATCAGACTGACACTAATAGACCAGCTAGAACTTCCTCTTTAGCTACGAATTCACACTTTATGTGCAAAGACGGAAGTAACAGTTGTTTTTTTTTAAATGACTGTTTTCTCAAACTTGAACGTTATTGACTGTAACCTGTGTGAGTGTCTCAGTTTGATATAAAGTGACGGCTTGTGAGTTAAAGTGTGTGTTTGGACCTTTGCTGAGCACATATAGGAACACAGGAATAAACCCAAACAGCCTCTGACAACCAGGAAGAGCTGCTCAGTGAGTCAGAGGAGGAGCCCGACGCCTTCCTCTGGCCCACACCTCACTTCCGTGTTTGCTGAAACGGGGAGCTGGTTCTGTAGAAGTGGA